AATGTTGAGTATCTCAGCTATCTTACACTGTGACATTCTTGTATTTTTTAATAATCCATAAATTAAATCTTTTTTCGGGGAAAAATATTACATGTCCTCACCATTGCTAAAAAAAGAAGGTAATATTTAATAAAATTGTGAACTTATCCACAAAAAATTTTATTTATTTATTTTTATTTAAAAAATGTGAGTATTTAAATAAACACCTTTGTAATTAATGAAATATTGTCACAAAATAATCTTCACAAGGTATTGCAATAATTTTTTAGAAAAAAACACTTCACACAACCATTCTAAGCAATGTTCTGTTTAAGCTGACAACATTAGATAAGAATGAAAATAAAAGACATGAGCAATGTTGCTATTTATGAAATAATATCTTTGGCATTGTTGATAAAGATATTATTTTGTAACCCAAATCAATTCCACAAACAATTATAAAGCGCTTCTATAAAATTCCTTTGTTTTTTTTATAAATCTTTATTTCACAACTTTTACTTTTTTCTCAGCGTGTGTTTTAGATACTGATTTTCTTTTTAAAAAAATGTTTGTCACTTTTTGCATGCTTTAATTTTATGATAATTTTTATGATTACTAATTAATAACTCCTAAAACCTTAGTACAAAAACTCTTTTATTTAATTTAAATTTCATGATGTTTTCAAAACAAAGTTTTTCTAAACAATGATAAACTTGCTTTATTTGTTATTTTTCAGTTATACAAAGAAATGTTAATATTTCTAGTTGTTAATTCTTTTTATTTAAAAGAACTCGCTTCATTTGTTTATAGTTAATTAATAGTAAATTAATGAAGCAAACTGAAGACAAAAACATTAGGGTTTTTTGCTAATTAAATATAAATTTTGCACTATTTCTCAATTACCTTTTTTGTTATAAACATTCATAAAATATCATTATGGTAAAATAAAAAAATATATTTATATATATACATATATAAACTATGTATATATATATATATATATATATATATATATATATATATATATATATATATATATATATATTTAATTATTTTTATTTTTTATTTTACCATAATGGTATTTTATGAATGTTTATAATAAAAAGGGTAATTGAGAAATAGTGCAAAATTTATATTTAATTAGCAAATATATATATATATATATATATATATATATATATATATATATATATATATATATATATATATATATATATATATATATATATATATATATATATATATATATATAAACACAGAGAGAAAAAAAAAAGAGATAATTTTTATTTTGGCCATAAAATTTTAATAAACTTTTAATCTACCTATGACATAGGTTATGTATAAGCTACTGTGGGTAAATAATTCTGTTTATTAATATACACAATCTATACCAGCACAGAAAATATTTGTTGACTAAAGCTGTAGTTCTTGTTAAATAAATGTATTCAAATAAACTTTATTGTTATATGTAAAAACCAAATATTTAATTTGGTTTTAAATATTTATTTACATTATATGTAAATACTAAAATTTTTATTTCTTCCAAGTGTTAAAATAAACAAATAAATTTAATACTGAACTAATTTGGCAAAAGATTAATACATCTGTCCAACTACACCTGTAGATTAGTCCAAGATCATCTGTACACTTTTATCCAAGATCATCTATATTTTTTTTAGTTACATCTTTTCAATGACAGAACTGAAAAGATGTAACTAAATCTATAGAATTCACAGATGCAGTTTTTTCAACATTATTGAAAAGATGTAACTACATCTGAAGTAATCATACTTTTTATACAGATGTTATTTGACCTCAACGAAATTCCAGGTGTTGTTGGACAGATGTTATTATACCTCAGTGTATTAATAGATGTTGTTGGACAGATGTAGTTATACATCATTATAAAACAGATGTTGTCAATATAAAACAGATGTTGACAAATGTTAGCAGACGTAGCAAAAACTGATGTTGTATCATTGGTCCATTAATTTTATTAATTTAGTAATAAAAACTATAGTATTATATTTGTATTAATCTTAAAAATAAATTATATCAAGTTATTTAGTTCAATCATACATTATATAAGATTAAGAATGCGCAACAAGCTCGTATAATTAATTAGTTATATGCAATGATATATTAAGAAAAATTTTTATCCTTCAACAAATTTTTATTATTTATCTAATAGTTATTCCTAATATATCATCGGTTATATGAGATCTGAGATAAGATCCCTGTTTTGATTGGACAAAAAACTAGTTACAAGCAGTCCTCAATTTAAAATATCTATCTCTTATCTTATCATATGCGCTTTACTAATAATTCATAGACAGCACTATAAAGGATGCACTGAAGGTACATTTAGTGTTTTTATAAAAACGCAGACCGAAAAAGTTTAGCGCATGCGTTGATATGCGCTAACGTACCTTCAGTGCATCTTCTCTAGGGTTGTCGTTAATACGTCGTTAATAAAAAAACAAGTTTACGTATTACATATTACAAATTACAGTATATTTATTCGTGACATAGAAATAAATGAAAACGATACTCACCAAGATTTTGAGCATGTGTTGAGTAAGATTGTTCTATGTGATTTCATAATTTTTTATTTAATATAAATAAATATATGTATATATACAAATATAATAAATGAATGAAAATGATGCTGAGTATCATTTTTATTCATTCATTATATATGTATCATATATGTATTATATATGAGTATCATACTCACCAAGGTTTTGAGCATGTGTTAAGTAAGATTGTTCAAAATGAATTTATAAGTTGATTTATATAATATATATATATATATATATATATATATATATATATATATTTATATATATATATATATATATATATATATATATATATATATATATATATATATATATATATATATATATATATATAAAATATATATATATATATATTATACTGTATACATCTATATATTTTATATAGTATACATCTATATATTTCATATATATATATATATATACATTATATATAAATATATTTATATATATATGTATTATATATATATATATATATATATATATTATATATATATATATACATATATATATTTATATATATATATATATATATATATATATATATATATATATATATATACATATATATATTATATATATATATGTATATTATATATATATATATATATATTTATATTTTATATATATATATTATATATATATATATATATATATTATTATATATATATATATATATATATATATATATATATATATATATATATATATATATATATATAAAATATTGTTATTATTTCTATTCTACAATAACAGTTTGAAATTTCTATGAGCTGGGAATCTATCGAGACCCAGCTATAGTAGACCAACGAACAATTGAATTAATCCATTTGTCATAATTAATTTTGCATTGGTCAACTGTCTTTGAAGCATCAACAAAATCTGGTAGACAATTCCAATAAGGTACTACACGATTGCATAAAAAATTATGTCTGGCTGAATTTAGTAAACTAGTAAACTCTCTATGAATTTTGAATTTTGCATCGCGTAGACCACCAACTGGGCCATTGACTGTTAATGGGCTGAGTGTTTAATTCTGCCACTTAACTATATTAAAGTTCTTGGAAATATATGTTTTATATATATTTATATATATATATATATATATATATATATATATATATATATATATATATATATATATATATATATAACCTTTAAAAGTCATTTTCTTGTTATACGATATCATTTTTATACGATATACGATATGTCTCGTTATACGATATCATTTTTCTTTATATATCTTTTTGTATATATATCTTTATAAGCAATTCTATTAAAAATACAGAAATATTCAAATGCCATTACTTGCATCGTTGTTTTAACTTGCGCGAATGTAGCGACTTGGGAGCCTGAAATTTAAATGAAATAGGAGTAGTTTACGTTTCCATCAAATATCAAAGGTAAAACAAAGAATTAAAGATTAACTTGTATTCATTATATTTCTATAATACATCTTTTATATATAATAAAATATTAAATTTTATATTATAAAATAAATGACAAAAAAATCACAATAAGCTATTGCATAAATGTGTCGCTCTTTAAAGTAGTTTTTTTTGTTTAAAAAAAAATAAAATTGCTTTCTTATATGTAACACATTGCAAAACCATTTTACTGTCATTTTTCATTAAGAATAGTAAATATACTTGGATATATTTCAGCTAAGACGCCCTAACGGCTTATACCACAAAAAGGCTATACATATTTAGTATGCCGATATCAAATAAGGTATAAATAAGGCAGTTCAATGTCAATATATAATAAAGCAAACATAACAATTAGGGCAGTTTATACATGTATAAGAATAGCCGTATATATGTGCCAAAATTAAAAAATACATGCTATTTAAAGCATAAACGTCTACGTCTATAATAGACATATACACTATAAATCCATCGGTATCACTATAAGTAAAATGAAAATTAAATAAAATGGATTATTGCAATAATACTTTGTATGTTACCTGATAGTTTTTTATCATAATCAACATGAGACATAACTTAAGCAATATCTACAATTGTGATGTAGTTCTAAATTATTAGCAGGTTCTATAAATTCTTACCAATTATATCAATGACAATTATATAAAGCAAGACGTGAAATGCCTACGGCTATAAATTTAGACATTTAGTACATAATAACAACTAACTGTTAAATAAGCAGGAAAACTAAATTTTTATAGCCTTTTTTCAAGTCGCGACATTATAAAGAAAAGAAAGCATTTCTTACTACGCCATTGAACTACGTTATATATATATATATATATATATATATATATATATATATATATATATATATATATATATATATATATATATATATATATATATATATATATATATATATATATATATATACACACACACACATATTATAATTATATGTGAATAAAATGTCTCAAGTTTACAAAAAGAAATCGTGCTCGATATCTTCATTTTCTTTTTAATGACATGCCGTTTAATTCTTTTGCAAGAATACCAATCATTAAGCTAACATGGAGGCCACCACTATTTTGAAATGATACCTAATTTATAAAAAATTTTAAATTATGAATCAAATTTTAATTTCAAAAAATTTTTTAAAAGTTTCACAAAAATTTTTATAATAACAAATCAATTATCTGAAAAAAGAGAAGCAATAGTTGAATATAGTTTACCTATTATAAAATTTTGGCATGGATTTTCAGTACAATGCCATCAGTGGTATTACTTTATGGCAAATCATTTTAAGAATTGTATTTTCTAGGCATTTTGCAAAGCAAGGTTGTGTGGAGTACGTGCATTATAATAAAATAAAATTTATATATAGTAACATAATACTACATGTAATGTTTATGGTCAGTTAATGCTATTGACCTCCCAACATAAAAGTTTTACATTAAATCAAGTATAGTCTGCATAAATTAAATATTATCAACCTAAACTAAAATCATTTTTTTTAATATTGTATATTTGGATGCTACGCAAGTAATTATGACTGTTCGACATTAACAGTCCGTAATATTAAAAATTATATACCCATGCTGTATAACAGTATTATTGTTTTATTATTATTTATTTGACTGGTTGTGGCAATCATTACAGTTCCAAATTTCATCTTCCTGCTCATAGGCACTTAGTGGAATTTTTTCGCATTCACGATGAAACTATCTACTACAAGCACAGCATTGTGCCATTTGCCTTTAAAAAAATAAATACATTATACATTATAAAAATTTGTTACTACATTATACTACATTGTTACTACATTATAAAAATTTGTTAAATTTAACATACCAAACAAGGTATCGCAGTTATAAATATTTTGTTGTTAACTCATTAATATGTACCAACATGCCTGTTATATATGTCTTCGTCTCCAGGCACCCAAAACATGCGACAAGAGCAATGCAGAGGAACACGAAAAGTCTTAGCAGCACATCTTCTAAAGGAAAAAGGATTTTCAGTTGCTGGAAATATCTCTATCTGGTTATTTGATATACATTTTAGGAGATGACTTCTAATTTCACTTTCCTCAAACATTAGATTTGTTGATGGTATACTTTTTGTTTCAAGAATCTAACGAGCCCGGGCAATAGCATAAAAACCACAATCCACACCATTTGTTTGCTGTTGAACTGGCAAAACTTTAAAAAAAAAGATTTTTTTCTTGACAATGCAAAATATTGCAAATTTGCCTTTTTGTCTCTAAGCTGATTGTACCGTGGAAAAGGCTGTCAAAAACATATATCTCCCCTGGTTTACAGTCATATGTGGTCACACATAACCAGTGAAGATTTCCATCATGAAGAATTTGGACAAATGGAGTACTTGTTAGATATCAAAAGATAAAATTTGTCCTTTAATGGGATCTTGCAGTCCAACATCAATATTTAACTGGATTGCCATAAGTTGCTTACAAAAGTGAGTTATGTTATCATTAAGCATATGTCCTTTTATGATATCATTTTGTTCTTTATGACCAATCAAAGATGATTTAAGACTTTGAATTTGCAGCACTATTCTATCTTGTTTAACATCTTCATTTACAGTCATATCAACAGAGTTGTTATTATCATCAGTTTAATGTTCCATGATATCAATTGATTCATTAGGAACCATAAAAATTTCATAGTTTTCATCAATTGAGTGACTTGTGACAATTTCAGAACTATAACTTTCCTTTTCAGCCATCACACTAATATCAGCAGCTGCTTTATATTTGTCATATTTAACACCAACACGCTTAGTCTTTTTTTTTTTACGCCGCACAGGGTGAAGACTAAGTTTTCGTGAATTTGTGTGTGACTTATTCCAAGTATCAGGTTGAATCTCTGGACGCAGCAGAATTCCTTGTTCTACTGGAAGACTTTCTGCTAAATGTATTTTAAGTTGACAAAGCCCTTCAAACAAATTATCAGTAGCTTGTTGAGAGTCACATAAGTAACTCATTTGTTTAATTTCATTTAAGAGCTCACGGCAGCTTGCAGAGGTATGATTACTGTAGTTTTTAGCAATCAAACCCTGACTACTATTTACATGGACATAATTAAAATTTTGAACTTCCTTGTCACTCTGTTTAATAAGAGAGGATATGTGTAGCGGTTCAACATGTTCATATTGAATATTATATAAACCTTATTGGAATGAGCTAAACTATTTTCATCTGAAAATAAATCCAGCTTGAAATAAGGAGAATTTGCATATGCAGTGCCAAATGCAGACCAAGAGAGATTCTCTTTTAGAAAAATGGCAAGAAAGTGTTTACATGGATATGAGGTACAAAACCAACTAGGACAAGAACAAGCTGGCAGACATTCAGAATCACCAAGGTAGCATTGGTAAATCTCTATACTATTTGAATTAAAAGTAGCTACATTGTATAATTTGTCTGTCACAGCAGTTATGCCCCGCAAATCCACACCTTGTAATTTTTCAATCAATGCCATACAATGTTTGACCAAAGATGATGGACGATCAATCAAATATGCTGGAACTTTATCATCATATTTTCTATATGAGGAATGCGCTCTTCTATTTTCATCACAATAACTAAAACAAAATAAATAAAATTAAAGAAAAGGTCAAATTTAATCAATTGCAAAAAAGTAAAACAATTATATTTAAAATTAGAGTTTTGGTATATACAAATCCAGTAATCATATTATTTAAAGATCACTCAGTATAATTTCTAATTTTAGGTTAACTCAAGTAAAGCAAGTAAATATTCAAAAAGTGTTACAGATTAAGTCAAATAATAAGTATAGTGAATAACAAAGAACAACTTTAGAACTCTTATTAGTAAAGGAATTTATGAGTAGCAAAATTGTGCTGCTGCAGCAGTTGTATAAACTAACTTGTCGTATTTGTGAGGAAGAAATTCTTCTATGCAAATACTAAGCATAGTTGTTAGAGAAAAACTCTTTTTTTTCTAAAAAACTGTATTTGAAAGATAGGTTCTGTCTTTCAGTTCCATTGTTGGTGTTGACATCCAACAAGATACGATCTTTCTTTTGTGCAACAACCCAGCGTTAAAATCAGAAAGAAATGGATTATAAACACTTAGTAACATTTTAGTAACAAATTGTTATAAATAAAATAAAAATACAACAAAATGATTAAACCAATAGTCGCAATTAACCAATAGATACAATATTGTATAAATCGTTGTAAGAAAAAATATTTTTTTTGATTGTTGAAAATATTTATTTATAAATCAACATTCTTTAACTACCTTTTGAATGCATAGCCAACTGCTTTTCAAATATTCTACAAGTTTTGGGTTGTTTTGCCACTCTTTTGATTCCTCCAATGCCTCAACAGCTTTTTGGCAAGTCTCAATTGTTTTTGCATGTGCAATTTCACAAAGCTTATCTTTAACTACATCTTTCACCATGCAACATCCATTAGCAGTTTTAGACAGCCATTGTTCCCAAGCTTGTTCTCGATGAAAATCACAAATAAACACTGTAAAACCTAAGTCAAATAAAAACATTTAAATTACATAGAAAAGAATGACTTGATATAAAATAAAATTAAAATTAATTTAAAATCAAGTATGACTTAAAATGAAAATAATGACAGTAAATAGTAAAATTAAAAAATATAGAGAAAAAAACTATTGTAATTAAAATAAGTAAATTCATTGACAACCACGAAAATAACAAAATGCTTTATTAACCTGAAAACACAGATTCAAGTGAATTTATTTCTTCATTAGAATAATCAGTAAAAAAAAACTTTGGTTGAAATAAAGGATTCCATTCTTTGATGCACATAAGTGCTTCTTTAATAGATTCGGTGGTTTCAAGTTTACACACAAATATAGCAACAATTTGGTAATTAATGTTAGTTTTAACAACGAGGAAAAAAAGAGGTAGTGCATATCTGGTTGTTTGGTATGTAGCATCAAGAAAAGCAAGCTCATTCCCATATCTTGATAGTAATTTTCTTTGCCATATATCTTGATATACAAACAACAAAGAATTTTTAAGATCGTTATCTTCTGAATTACCTCCCTTTGGTCTAAATTTTATCATTGCATCTTGAAAATTAATTTTCCAATCATTTATTTTTTCCCAAAGACATTCTTGATCTATTATGGATTTGCGAAGTTTTCGTCTAGCTATCAACATGTGATTTGCAATGGTCTTATCACTTGGGAAAAATCGTTTTTTTGTCTTCTGCAGCATGTTATTAGAATTAAATTCCATCTGAAGAAAGGTCTTTAGATGATGTCTCATTTCAATAACAGAACTGACACCCGTTCTGACCAACTCACCAATTTTTAAAATAAGTTCTTCACATAAAGGTTGATTAAGACCTGCGGCCTAATAGTTAGATAAAGAGTGGAAAATAATTAAATAAATACAAACACGAAGACAAATAGTAAATGTAACTGCGCTACTTACATCACCAATTAGATGGTTATTATGAGCAGATATTGCAGGAATTACCAAAATATATTTTCTGCACATTAAAACTGTTTGTTTTAAAGTCAAAGCTGAACGTAATTTTTTTGAAACTTCTTTCCTGATCCTGGTAGAATCTCGATCCAGCTATATATATATATATATATATATATATATATATATATATATATATATATATATATATATATATATATATATATATATATATATATATATGTATATGTATATATATATATATATATATATATATATAAACACACAAAATTAAATTGTTATAAATATAATAAATATTGACATGCATCAAAAGTTAAGTATTGATGTAAAAATAAGGGTACAATACCTTAAACTCAGGAAATTCAATGATTTCTTTGATAAAAATTTTGGCGGGACAATCAAACTTCTTGGTAATTTGTGGAATCATTCTTTTTTTTGTTGAAAGAATGATCTGAACTCTGTACAAGAATAAAGTAATTTTAAAACATGAGAAAATCATTCTTATAATATAAAACAGAAGTAGATAACCTATTTAGAACAAAAATTTGTTTAGTAATAAAGAGAAGCAAAAATAAAAAAGAGATAAATAAACTTAAAAGGGTTATTGTACTACTTACTGCTTCTGTATTATTTTTAATTTTGTACAGAGCTTTAGCTTTACTATTTTTATCTTTGCCATGGTGACAGTCAAGTGTACCATTTGATGAAACAATGAATGGTACTCCAGTGTAAGAAACGTCTTTATCCTCAAAAAATGCTCTGTGATTTTCCTTTAATTTTTCTAAAAAACATATTTTATAGACATGCTTTCTGTTACGATAGGGGTAATGATTAATTGATTATAAGAGGATTGCTTTACAATAGCTTCAGACAATAATATTTTAAAGAATGTAGCAATTAAATTTTGTGTAGTAAATTTAGTATATAGCAAATTGTATATAGTAATTGTGTAGTAAATTTAGTATATAGCAAATGAATTAGTTTTAAAGTTGTTGTTTTTTTTACAAAAAAAATGGTCAGATTTTATTTATTACATTTTGATTAGTTTTTTAGATTGCTCATAGAAAGAACATTGTTTAGAAATACAAATTTAGTTTACGTGCTGTAGGCCAAGAATTTGTTTAAAACGGCAAATTGTTTAACAAAATGAGTAGACAGTTTATATCCGGTTGCTTAACCTCTACGAGAAATAAGCATTTAATTCTCAAGTAGTAGGGGTGGTGTTTTTTGAAATTTAATTGATGGAGGTAAAACAATAGTTAAAAATACTAAAAATATTTTTCTAGTATTTTTAACGTTTTTTCTTATATATAAACATTGTTTCCGTGCAATGGTGATTGTCTCATTGACGTATTTTCATAATTTACTCATTATCAGATTTTTCTGTCTAATTATCATCAAGCTAGTTTTTTTATAACTGATAATCCTCGTACAAACGTTTCTATTGCGAATTTAGCACAACTTTTATTTTTATTATGACAATTATTTAAAAGTCCTGAATACTCTTGTCAAGTTTTACACCATATTAAAATTACTTCATTAGAATCATCAGTTTAAAATTTGCAGGATTCAAACTGATGATTCAGGCAAAACAGGCATTTAAAAAGTAATATTTTTTAACCTTGCTATGCTCAAATAAATTGAAAAAAAAAAAATTGAAAAAAAATGAATAAATATTGGTTTTAATAAAAAAATTATGAAATAATATTTAACCAATATTATTTTATAATTTTTTATTTAAAATATTTCAATTTGCATGCCGACACTTTAGAACATTCAGGTTGGCAGTTGTATGCCGTCCTAAAGCAAAGATAGGTCGGCTTTTGCGTCGACATCGCCAAATGCCAACCTGAATTTTGCTGACTGTCATAAGACCATGTAAAATTGATTATCTACCTAGCTACTATGCTAAATTGACTTTCTAACTCATGGGATTCATATTCCATGTTACTTAAATTGTGTAACTATCAAGTTACACTATTTGCATAACTTCTTTATTATTTCTTTTTTATACTATTAACACATAAAATACCTTGAACTTTTGCATAAATTAAAAACATAACAAAAACCTTCAAAGCTTTTTTCCATACTTCTTGTAAAACCTACAACATAACCAACAGAGTGCAATAACTCATGTTCTTTTATTTTGGCACAAACATCAGCATATGTCGCTAAAATGTGCATTGTTTCCATAGCGGAAGTTAGATTTGAAACTGGAGTTAATGTATCAAAGTTTGCATCTAAAATGATATAAAATCTTTCGAATGACAATGAAAAATATAGGCAACAGTACTAACATTTTTCACAACTTTTTATTTATTTTGCAGATAAACATAATACAATCATTTATATATATAAAGTTTTTATGTTTTTAATATTATTTTTGTCTTTAATATTAAGGTATTATTTATTTTATTAAAACAGTAGAGTTAGCATCAAAAGACTTTATCATTCAGTCGAGTCATGTAATCAGCTATGTATTATCTATGTGTAACAGTATCAGAGTTGTAATCAAGAAGAAGTAATAAAACATTAGACATATGTGGATTTTGATTATTTGTTGACATTTAAAATGTTGAATTAAATCTCTTTCAAAATAACAAAATAATATATATTAAAACCAAATGAAATTTTTTTTGTAGCATGCTACGAAAAAATTTTGAATTGGTCATAAGGTGTGTGTATATATATATATATATATATATATATATATATATATATATATATATATATATATATATATATATATATATATATATATATATATATATATATATATATATATATATTATATATATATATATATATATATATATATATATATATATATATATATACATACATATATAAAAGATCTTTTTACATATCTAAAAGACACTTTATATTTTACCGTAAGACTCACGGTTTCATAAAGAATCTCACGTCAAATCCAAAAATCTCAAAGTAAATTTTAAAAAATTTCGAAAGAATTTCTTTTTAAATTTACTTTTGCTAAAAGCAATATAAATATCAAGAGAGGTTGTCATTACACCAAGAACTAATGAAAGTTAAGTGCTCAAGATAAATCATAAAATGAAGCCCTCTATTTGTAGACTAACATAATTTATATAAATTATATATATATATATATATATATATATATATATATATATATATATATATATATATATATATATATATATATATATATATATATATTGTCTACCTTTAGGTTTTTAAAAAAAGGCAATTCCTTCTTCAGATGTCAGTGTTGATAGGTACTATCCTTTGATTCATAAAGACTTCAATTGTCACATGCTAGGTTTAGGGGTATACATACGCATTAATTCCCCTATTTGTCGTGAAATCAGGTTCGAATCTTTTGATCATTCTTTTATGTACTTTCGCCTAGCACCTCTTCACTCTATCACCTTTCTCTTTGTTCTTCATCGTTTTATTTCTTCTCATGATTGCACTCTTTTAGATGTTATCTCTGATCAAATTGACGATGCCCTCTCTCTTTACCCCTCCGCCAATATTGTTGTTGTTGGTGATTTTAATGCCCATCACACTGAATGGCTTGACTCTAATACCACTGATCCTGCTGGCACTAAAGCCTTTAACTTCTGCGTTTCTCAATATCTTACTCGGATAGTTAACTTTGTGACTCGTTTTCCTGACAACCCTAATCATTTACCTTCACTCTATGACTTATGTCTTGTCTCTGACCCTAGCTTAGGTTCCGTTTCTCCCTTTTCTCCCTTAGGTGGTTCTGACCATGCAATGATCTCTATAAATCTTTCTTCTCATACTTCTTTTTTGGGCTCACCTTATCATCGCACCACCTACTATTACCCTAAAACTGACTGGAATTCTTTTCATGATTTTCTTCGTGATGGTCCTTGGACTGATGTTTTTTCTCTCTCAGCTGATAAATGAGCCTCCTACGTAACCTCCTGGATTCAGGCTGGAATGGAAGCTTTTATTCCTTCTCGTAGGTTTCAAGTCAAGCCTCATTCTACTCTATGGTTTTCTCCTTCTTGTGCTATATCCAATCATAATCATTTTTTTCATCTTTTTCAAAAGAACAACTCTTTTGAGAACAAACGGCTATTTATTATTGAAGAAATCGATGTAAAAAAGTGCTTTCTGATGCTAAACTCCATTATTCTCAGTTCACTAAATCTCGCATCTTATCACAGAAGTTAGGCTCTAAAGACTTTTGGAAATCTTCAACAGCATTATTAACAAGGGTAGATCTAACATATTATCTCTCATTTATGGGACTGATCTTATTACCTCTCCCAAGGATAAGGCAGAACTATTTGCAAAGAACTTTTCTTCTAATTCCACTCTTGAATCTTATGGACATTCTCTTTCTTCCATTCCAGTCAAACAGGTTGACTTATTGTTAGACATTCAAATCATTTCAGCCTCTGTTGCTAAAGTCATATCTCAATTAACTCGTCTACAGCTTGTGGTCCAGACAACATTCCTGTCACAGTCTTGCAGAATTGTTCTCCAGAACTTTCTTCAGTTCTCTCTAAACTATTTAACAAGTGTTTGACTGAGACTTGTTTTCCTGCTTGTTGAAAAATGGCATCTGTGGTTCCAATATTCAAAAACTCTGGAGAAAATTCTGACCCCTCCAATTATCGTCCGATCAGTCTTCTTTCTGTTATTAGCAAGGTCTTTGAGTCTTTAATCAACAAATTCCTCACATCTCATCTTGAGTCAAATAAACTGCTGTCAGACAATCAATACGGTTTTCGATCCTCTCGCTCTACGGCCGACTTGCTAACTGCTGTAACTGAAAGATTTTATTTTACATTAGATGGAGGCGGTGAGGCTAGGGGTATTGCTCTCGACATATCTAAAGCTTTCGATAATGTTTGGCATGCTGGTCTTCTCTATAAGCTTGCTTCATATGGTGTTTCTGGAAAAGTTTTTGAGATTATCAAATCATTTCTTTCTAACCGGTTTATTAAAGTCATCCTTGAAAGCCAACACTCTTCTTTATTTCCAGTAACTTCTGGGGTTCCCCAAGGCTCCATCCTGGGCCCTGTTTTGTTTCTTATCTACATAAATGATCTTCCTGACAAGCTTTCATCTAAAGTAGCTCTTTTTGCTGATGACTCAACTTTATACTCCTGTCTTGGCAAAAAATCTTCTCTTTTCGATCGCCTAGAACAAGCAGCTGATCATGAATTCAATCTCACTTCAGTAATAGATTGGGGTTCACAGTGTCTTGTGAATTTCAACTCTAACAAAATCCAGTTGTTTACTGCAAACAACTACCGTAATATGGTCAACATTTCTATATTAATTAATGGCAATCCTCTTACTGAGTCCTCCACTTTATGTCTTCTTGGTTTATCGCTTACTACTGACCTTTCATGGAAACCATATATACATACCATATATCTGCTAAGGTTGCATCTCTTTATCGTGCCCGCCATTTCCTTACTTCTGATTCCATTCTCTTCCTCTACAAATCTCTTATTTGCCCCTGTATGGAACGCTGTTGTCATATTTAAGCTGGTTCTTCTAACGATTCACTTTTTCTTCTTGACAAGGTCCTAAAACGCATTGTTGGACCTGGACTATCTGCTAAGCTTGAGCCTCTTTCCATCGTCATAAAGTTGCAGCTCTTTCTCTTATCTACAAATACTATCATGGTCACTGCTCAAAGGAGTTATCTTCTCTAGTTCCATCAACTAAAATTCATTCTCGTTTAACTCGTCATTCAGCTAAGTCTCATTCGTTTACTGTATCTGTCCCTACATGCTCTATAAACTTTTATTTATCTAGTTTTTTACCCTGCACTTCAATCCTTTAGAACTCTCTCCCATCTTTATGTTTTCCTGACTCATACAACCCTTCAACTTTTCAAGTCTTCTGTCAACTGTTTTCATGCTCTATAATTCTGTTCTTTTTTTTTCTAGTAACTCCCAACTTAATAGTGGTTGCTTGCAGCCTTGTTGGGAGTGAATGCAAATAAAAAAAAAAGAGTTAAAAACTTTCGGTTGGATGAAACTTGACAGTATCCCTATTTGGGATCAAGTTGAAAGCTTAATTTGATTTTTAAATGAAAAAGCCTCCTTTCATGTTAATAAAACATTGTGCCATAACATTTTTTAAAACTTATAAGTTCAATAAGTATTTGTTATCAAACAAAGACTCATTGAAAAATATGGGTTCAACGAAAAAATTTACATTTGGTATGATTCATCTTTCCCTGTTTATTGACTTGCTATATTCCGACAAATGCTTCGTCGATGACAGTGTAATTGAAAACTAATGCAAGTGATTAGTTAGATACAAGTAAACAATTGTTATATACATACATTCATACATACATACATACATATATATATATATATATATATATATATATATATATATATATATATATATATATATATATATATATATATATGTATAATTCAATAAAAATAATCATTTCTTATAAAGAGAAAAAAGATATCGTATAACGAGACATATCGTATATCGTATAAAAATGATATCGTATAACAAGAAAATGACTTTTAAAGGTTATATATATATATATATATATATATATATATATATATATATATATATATATATATATATATATATATATATATATATATATTTATTTATATAAAACATATATTTCCAAGAACTTTAATATAGTTAAGTGGCAGAATTATACACTCAGCCCATTAACAGTCAATGGCCCAGTTGGTGGTCTACGCAATGCAAAATTTAAAATTCATAGAGAGTTTACTAGTTTACTAAATTCAGCCAGACATAATTTTTTATGCAATCGTGTAGCACCTTATTGGAGTTGTTTACCAGATTTTGTTGATGCTTCAAAGACAGTTGACCAATGCAAAATTAATTATGACAAATGGATTAATTCAATTGTTCGTTGGTCTACTATAGCTGGGTCTCGATAGATTCCCAGCTCATAGAAATTTCAAACTGTTATTGTAGAATAGAAATAATAATAATATTATATATATATATATATATATATATATATATATATATATATATATATATATATATATATATATATATATATATATATATATATATATATATATATATATATAATATATATATAAAATATAAATATATATATATATAATATACATATATATATATATATAATATATATATGTATATATATATATATATATATAACTATATTTATATATAATGTATATATATATATATATGAAATATATAGATGTATACTATATAAAATATATAGATGTATACAATATAAAATATATATATATATATATATTTTATATATATATATATATATTTATATATATATATATATATATATATATTATATAAATCAACTTTTAAAGTCATTTTGAACAATCTTACTTAACACATGCTCAAAACCTTGGTGAGTATGATATTCATATATAATACATATAAGATACATATATAATGAATGAATAAAAATGATACTCAGCATCATTTTCATTCATTTATTATATTTGTATATATACATATATTTATTTATATTAAATAAAAAGTTATGAAATCACATAGAACAATCTTACTCAACACATGGTCAAAATCTTGGTGAGTATCGTTTTCATTTATTTTAATGTCACGAATAAATATACTGTAATTTGTAATATGTAATACGTAAACTTGTTTTTTGAACGACAACCCTAGAGACGATGCACTGAAGGTACATTAGCGCATATAAACGCATGCGCTAAACTTTTTTTGGTCTGCGTTTTTCTAAAAACACTAAATGTACCTTCAGTGCATCCTTTATAGTGCTGTCCATAATTCATAGACAACTCCTAAAATCCGGCTAACAATAAACATTTTGTCGGACCTAATGCAAGCTAAATTTTTCGTCCAATCAAAACAGGGATCTGATCTCAGGAAATAGCCGCTCGTAGTATATTCTTATATCGGCATCATATATTTTACAAAAATAAAGGTAAAGAAAAACTTCATACCTAATAAATGCTCAAAATTTAGAGAAGAATTATCTTCACTCATTTTAATCTAAAGAGTATAACAAAATTTTGTAGAGCGAAGCTGGGTTTAGTACAATTCGAAGAGTTCTGTTCCAGAATTCAAAATAAGATATTGGCTAGCGGTCGTTCGTATAATTCAGAATAAGGTACACTTAAAGTGCATGCGTACCAACCGTCAAAAGTATTCTAGGTCTGCGATTTTTGTAAAATTCAAAATCTTATTTTGAATTATACGAAAGACCGTTAGCCTAATTTTTAAGTAACGCATTTTTAATAAAGCATTTTTTCAATTACAAAAGAAATCTTTTTACAACAACTAATAGACACGTTCCATCTAATTTTTGTTTTTGTTATCAGTTGAAAATTGTGGTAATATTGATACAGGTAATGAAATTTTTACAGATAATAAAGGAAACGGTTTAAAACTAAATATATGTTATAGTATGTATATATATAGGTATGCGGAAATACGAGTTTTACGGAACCGAATTTTGTGCTAAAATTTTGTGCCAGGTTTTTTGAACTTTTTTTTAGGTAACGTCAGGCGAACGTTTTTTTGTGGCGTTTCTGTTTAGAAACATTACTAAACTTAGATTATTTTTGAAAAAAAGAATAGTTAAACTTGATTAATATATAACATTTATGTGTGGTTAGTAATTTTTGTATTGCTTTTATTTGTATTAAAAACTTGGTTCTTGTTCTCACATTAAACTATTGTTGAAGAAATGCTCAGATAGTTTGCAAACCTATCCAGATAGTTTTTTACATGTATTTTTTATCTACATACCAAATTTTATTGAAAAATATTATTGAGCAGATAGATAGAGTCTATAAAAGTGAGCAGTTTTGGTACCTCATTTCTGTTTTTCTGATTTCCGTAAGTGGGTGGTAAGAGGGGTACGAACAAGTTGAATTTTATTAGGTTAGTTTATGTTATATGTATAATATATATATATATATATATATATATATATATATATATATATATATATATATATATATATATATATATATATATATATATATATATATATATGTATTTTCTTTTTAAATAAAATAAACTAGTGAAAATGTACAAACTTATATTAATTAATATATATATTATATATATATATATATATATATATATATAATATATATATATATATAATATATATATATATTATATATATATATATATATATATATATATATATATATATATATATATATATATATATATATATATATATATATATATATATATATATACAATTAGATATAGACTGCCTATAAATTTTTTTTTTCTTTTTCTTTTTTTTTTCAATAGTTTATTAGATTTTTTATATTAATTAATATTAGTTTGTATATTTTTACTCCTTTATTTTATTTTAAAAGTGAAAATTATTTATTTTAGTGTGACTAGTTTATAGTTTCTAAAATTTTATTAGTTTATTAAAATTGTAAACATACGCGTTGATTACTATAGTTCTAGCTATAGATATGCATGGTACTTTAAAAACAGTTTTTCCTTTTTATGTAAACATTTGCAATGTATATTTTAAATTTTCTTTATATTATCACATGTTTTATGATGTCAGTATACATTGGCATTTTTGTCTGTGTGTATAAATAGTATTTTTTATTTGCGTAATAATATAGTATTATTAAAAATATTTTTAATAATAAAAGTATAATATTGTTTATAATTTAATGTTATATTATTATTCGGTAGTTATACAAGACTTTCTTTACATTTTTTTTTTGTAAATAAAGTTGCTTTTTGTGCCCCGCCAATGAGCGCAAAAAGCAACTTTATTTTTTGTTTGTAGTACAGTTAAAGAGTATTTAGATACACACTTCTTTTTACCTGCCAAACTTGCAGTTGTTGTTAAAATAGACATGTACCTTTTTTATTTATTAACAGTGTTAAGTCATTTGTTATAACTATTATTTTGTTTAAATATTTGTAAACCACAAATTTTTAGGGTTTTGAAAAGATGCAAAAGTTGGTTTTGTAACTTTACAAGGAATAGTAATCGTTTTAAGGAATATTGTAATGAACCCTGTATATGCATTGCACAAATCTTGCCCGTTTTTCTATCATCATGTCCTACTCCAAGTAGTTCTCTTACTACTGTTTTAAGTACTTTAGATAATTCACCACTTGAGCACATAAGTAATTTATCACCACTAAATCACAAGCCTTCATTTTCCAAACATTCTGTTAACAATGAATTGGCATGAAACAAGAGGAGAAAAAAGCCTTGAAAAAATAGGTTTGAATACCAGATTGTCCTATTTAACTTCTCAGCTTGCTGTTACATCCAGCATGTATCAAAAAAAAATTAGTAATAGTGACAGCAAAATTAAAAAGCATGGCATACAAGTTGAAAGTACTGAGACAAAAAGTTACATAAAAAAAAAACAAATTGTTAAAGTTTTGAGAGCTGAACTTAGAGATCTTAAACAAAAGTTGCAAACATATTATTACAATAAGATAATACGCAATCTTAAAGCTTAAAAAAAAGGCAATGAAAATTTCAGAATTTTTAAAGCTAAAATAAGTTAAAGTTGTACATAATAAAGATATTAAGGCATATAAAATGCTGATAGCTAGTTACGAATATTTGCTTGCATATATGTAAAGCAGTTGATCATCTAGCTTTAATTTAGATTTTCATTTAGCATCTTTTAATGATAGTGATCAATTGATCATCTCAAATATATCAAACGCAATGTCAAGCAAAGTTGCAATTAACCATCATACCATAAGTAAACTGTGTGACATATAAGGGGAATGTTTGAATGAACTAAACTGCCATTTACACGCTATTGATATAATTGCTACCTCATGGCTGGGTATGATTGTATGGCATTTAAAATAGTTTTGGCTATGAACAAGTTGAGGTTTAAACATAGCAAAGGTGATTCAGAAAGATTTGTTTGTTTTTAGATGATCAAAAACTACCACGAGGTATCATTCCAAGGTATCTAGAAAAATCATCTTCATATTTTTTTTCATACTTGTTTTATTTTTATAAAACATTTAATAAGTTGGAGCATTTTTTAACCATTCGAGCAGTAATATGCAGAACTATACAAACAGTTCTTAGAGCAGTATTTTGTAACAAAACAGCTCTAAAGCAAAAGTGTGTGCTTGATTTATATGGAAAACCACCTTCTCAAAGTCACATAAAACTTTGTCATCCAGTTTCCAGCCTGGATGACAAAGTTTTGTGTGACTGTTGAGGAGGCAAATTTTGACCATTATCGTGGAATCCTGGTATTAAAAAATATTTTACTAAAAATTGCAGATGTTAAATCAAGTCCAGGTTCACTTTTTAAAATGACCTTGAACCAAATATTTTAGATCCAATAAAAATTGTTTTGTTTGATTGATGAACACTTTATCAATATGACTTTTGCTTGTCTTATTGCAGTGGGAGACGTCATAACTCATCAATGTAAGAGGTATTTCTCACTTTCTATTAACCAGGCTCTCAAGGAGGAAGTAGCATGTGCAAGGCTTTACGATATAAATAGTGAAGAGTTAATGGGAATGTTTAGTGAGGCTGAAGAAAGATCCCCTAATGTAACAATTTGTTATGTTTCATGCAAATTTAAATACCTAGATAGTTTAAATCAATTATCTAGAGAAAATATAGTTACTATTTAAAAACTTTGGCATATAAAATTCGCCGAATGGTCACACACGAGCAGTGAACGCCTGAGGGAAGAAATGAAATACATTAGAATAAAGGAGAATTATTTATTAGACAAAGCATATTTTGACAATTGTCAAGACAAAAATAAAGATTAATAGAGGAATATTTAAAAATAAATAAGACTAATAAATAAGGAATATTTAAAAATAAATAATATAGTTATGTGGTCTATTCAGAAACCCATAAAAATATAGTTATGTGGTCTATTCAGAAACCCATAAAAATATAGTTATGTGGTCTATTCAGAAACCCATAAAAATATAGTTATGTGGTCTATTCAGAAACCCATAAAAATATAGTTATGTGGTCTATTCAGAAACCCATAAAAAGAGGATGATAAATCAAATGAAGCATAATGATATATGAGCAGATATTTCAAAAAAAACATGTATGCAAATGCCAAAAAATGGATGAAAAAGACAAAAGAAAGTTAAAATGACAATTGCTTGAACTCTCTTACAATGAAATAAAGTGTTTAAATACATCGTCTATCAAACAACTTCATGACTAAGATAATGTAATGTCATAACTAAGATGATGTAATGTCAGATAGAATTGTTGGGCAAAAACTTTGCCATGAATGGTACTAAGTGAGTATTCGAAGTATGTCATGTATGATAGTAGAGAAGAAAAACTTGATAAAACAAAACAAGACAAAATTTACACGATTTCTTACTAGAATAAAGGTGATACTGATACTGAAGCTGTTGACTACAACATGAAAAAATTTCAGATTCCGCTGATGTTGGACCAGGAGAGTTGATTTTTTTTTTTTAAGTGTAATATGTAACAAATTATGATATTACTTGTAATGAAGCTTTAAAAATAGATACTGCAAGTGATGAAACTTACAAAACAGATACGGCATATGATGAAACTTGTATAAAGGTATTGCAAGTAATAAAACTTGAAGAAATAGTCATATCAAGTCAGATATGTCTGGTATTAAAACATATGTTTTTGTTTTACTTTTTTTTATAAATGTTTTTAGAGAAGAATAAAAGTATTTGACTTGGAATGACCTTTACACAAGTGTTGTGACTTCCAAAATATTTTGATAGGCCGCTCTGGCTTATCTTCACGTGGTGTCTATTGTTACAAATGATTATTATAGTGTTCCATTTATGAAATTGATTATTTTAATTATTTACTAAAAGCCAAGAAAACTATTTAATCTTAGGATATCTAAAATGTTTTAATACAGAACAATATAAAATTGATTGTTACATTTTTTTTATAGCATAGAACACTGATATTTTTGGTCATGAAATAAAATATATTTAATGAAATATCAAAAAATGAAATATACTAATTTATTTTGTTTGTTAAAGATACAATTATTTTTAAGAATTCAACATCTTTTTATTGTAGGTTGTGGGTAACCATTACCACCCTATTCAACAAACTTCTCAACTTAACCAAAATTTACGAATAGCAGCGAAAAGACTTTTTTTTCAAAAGTAGGCTCGGTTGTGGTCTTTATCTTTAGCTTGTAGGTTATACTTGGTGCCAAAAGACTAATTCAGGTTTTAAATTGTAAAATAATTATAATTGTTATTATAAAGATTTATTTATTTTACTTATTTATTTTTTTAGGTTGGGGGGGGGCACACGCTCCTCGCACAAGTCAATAAACACACCACCAATAAATGAAATTCTTGTAACAAAAAAAAATTTCATGTTTTTTATACTGTGTACTAGTTTCACTTATTTTATTAAATAAATAAATATTTATTTATAATTAGAGAATTAAATATTTTTGAAATTAGGGTGTGTTAAACCATCACCACCATATCCATCACCAACTTTAATAAACATCAATCATTAATAGTCTGGAATAAAATTATAGCAACTTTTTGTAAAAAAAAATAACCGTTTGTTAAAATAAAACACTTTTTATTGATAGAAATATGCTTATTTTTAGGGTAAAGGTGGTGGTTCGGCACCCCCTCTAGCCCCCAGGAAATGCCCAATAGGTGGACGATATTATAAATTTGTAGCCCACAGTTACACCTATCTTTTGATACTAAGTTATAGGTACTTAGATAAGAATTGAAAAATTTATAACAATTTAAGTTAAGAAAAACTAAATTTTGACCACAGTTTCTTCAACAAATCCGTATATCAAAAGATTGCGACTAAAAACGTTATAACTTTTTGTAGAATATTCCGATTTTAATAATTTTTTCACCTTCAAAATACTGTATTGAAGCACTTTCCAATGATATATAACAATCTAACCTTTGATCAATTTAAAATTTTCAATCCACATACCTAATATATATATACTTGATATACTATTAGTTTAGTATTGATATATCAATAACCAAGTTCTAACAATTTCAAAGATTTAGACATCTCATGCATAATCGAATTTTTCAAAAGGAAAACCTGTTAATGATAAATGGAACAATTATCCTGATAATTCTTTGAATTCAATGTCTTTACTCGACAACATTATGCTATTTTATAATGGAGCCAGTACATTAGTTAATGATCTTCTTGAAAAATTGCCAAACCAAGGTTTGAAACTTCCCAAAGATTCAAGGAGAATTTTAAAAGCACTTTATGAAAAGTGACTTATAGACAGGCTCTTGCTAATTTATATATATATATATATATATATATATATATATATATATATATATATATATATATATATATATATATATATATATATATATATATATATATATATATATATATATATATATATATATTTAAACATTTAATTACTTGAGAATCGTATTAATATTGATACATATATTGAAATTGATAAAGATATTGAAATAAATAGTTAAAAACTGGGTATATGATATACTATATATATATATATATATATATATATATATATATATATATATATATATATATATATATATATATATATATATATATATATATATATATATATATATATATATATTTAAACATTTAATTACTTGAGAATCGTATTAATATTGATACATATATTGAAATTGATAAAGATATAGAAATAAATAGTTAAAAACTGGGTATATGATATACTATATATATATATATATATATATATATATATATATATATATATATATATATATATATATATATATATATATATATATATATATATATATATATAAATATATATATATATATATATTAAGTATATACTAGACACTTGATATAGTATTTCAAGTATAATAATTGATATACTATATTAAGAACCAAGTTCTGACTGTTTGAAAGACTTAGACATCGCAGAATCTCATGCATAGTCATATTTTTCAAAAAGAAAACCTATTAATAATACAGAGAGTTTATGCTGATAATTCAATATAATTTAATATCTTTAATTAACAACTTTTAGATTGTTCTATTCGAAATAATTGGACCAGTACATTACTTAATAAACTTTTTGAAATATTACAATATCAAGTTTCGGAACTTTGCTAATAACCAATTACTTAACTTTAGTAATTAGTTATTAGTGAAGTTCAAAACTTTTGACTATAAAATAAGTCTAATTAAAAAAATTAAACCAGTCAAAACAGTTATATAAGAGCCAGGAAGGTAGAAAATTTCCTTTACTCTAAAGGAAATTTTCTACCCACCTGTCTCTTATATAACTGTATTAACATATGAATAACCACTATATCACGTGTTGGAATGCTATTGGCAATTTACTAAGTAACCGATGAGAAACACTTCTTAATTTCCCTTTTTTTTTTTATCATCTAGGAAATTTTATTAAAGTAAATGGATTATACTTATTATTAAAGAGTTAATATAGTCCTTTGATTAATTGCAAACCTATATTTCTATTGTATATATATATATATATATATATATATATATATATATATATATATATATATATATATATATATATACAACCCTTGGAATTAAGAAAAAAAAGGTTGACAGTAGTTTGTCGACATCAATCAAAAAAGCAAAAATAAGTGATTCAAAAGTCTTACCATTAAACATAGAAACAAGGTCAGCATTATTTGTCGAACCCATATATATATATATATATATATATATATATATATATATATATATATATATATATATATATATATATATATATATATATATATATATATATATATATATATATATATATATATATATAAATATATATATATATATATATATATATATATATATATATATATATATATATATATATATATATATATATATATGCGGTAGTGGTGTAGTGGTAGAGCGCTCGCTTCATAAACGAGTGATTCCGAGTTCGATCCCCACCACGTCCCTGGTAGTACCGCGCTCAACTCGTTTCTCCGCGCAGCGGCCTTGTTCATCAAGGTTCGTGTTTCGGAGTTATAGAGTTGAGAGAGGGTTATAACCACAAATAAGTAGCCTCCTTGTCTGTAGTGGCCTTCTCGGCCTTTAGGAGGTGAATTAAATTAAAAAAAAAATATATATATATATATATATATAATATATATATAAGGTATATATATTTTATATATATATATATATATATATATATATATATATATATATATATATATATATATATATATATATATATATATATATATATATATATATATAATATACTATTTCAAAAAATTGACTTTCGTTTCCAAATCTTTTTAAATAATAGAAAAATGTCTCCTTAAAATCCCTTCTTATGGCGTCAGTTTTAATAGTAAAAATACAAAATATATGTCAAATAAAATAAAATTAAGTTTTGCTAAAATTTAAAATTATTAAAATTAATTAAAATTTAGAACTATTAGTTATTATTAGTTAAAATTAGTAGAATTTGTAGTATTAGTTAAAATTTAGAAGTAGATAGTGTGAAACATCAATTAGATACAATTTAAAGTTGAACAGAAAAATTAAAAAAAAAAAAAATGCTAATGCTAAAAAAAAACACTTTAAAGAATATTTTTTACTTTATCCATAATTTTTATTTACTTGTTAATTAAGATTTTGTTTTTAGGAGCGTCAACTACATCAAGTGTCAGTTGATATATATGTTTTGGTCAAATACATGTTTGTATTTGGTAATATTATGTTACATTTTCGTTTTATATTTCAAAAACTCATATTGCATTTATTTAAATATGGATTTAGGAATTTCGAATTGATGTGTTTGTAGTTTTTGTATCTAATTTCGTTTTAAATTAAAGAAATTTTATTTGATTAAATGTATTTAACTCTAAAGTTTTAACTCTAAGTTCGGTTTTAAAAAAATAGAACAACAGTTTTGGCTATTGTTCATTTTATGTAATGGTTAATGTAATATAATTTATTTTATATAATATGCCTAATGAATTTTTATTAGTAACAACTTCTTTAATTCATTCAGCTCCTCCAAAATTTTAAAGTTCAAAGTTTCGCTTTTCCCAAAACAAAGTTAAAGAAAATATATGAAGTCAATGATAAATCTTAAAGTTTTACAAAGAATAATCTATGTAATATTTTTTCTTGTTATAACTATCTTGGAAGTTATTTTAAATATCTAGGCCTTTTATCTTTATAAATTAATTTTTTAAATACTTCTCAATACTCAAAATAGGTACCTAGTCAATTCTGCAAGAAAAAAAGAACATTTAAGAATTTCCTTTCAAAAGATGTAGTTAGTAGAATTTTAAGTTAGTTATATATATATATATATATATATATATATATTTATATATGTATATATATATATATATATATATATATATATATATATATATATATATATATATATATATATATGTATATATATATATGTATATATATATATATATATATATATATATATATATATATATATATATATATATATATATATATATATATATATATATATATTTATATATATATATATATATCTTCTTTATATCCTGTAACTTCAGAGATTCTTCAAGGTTTAATCCTTGGCCCTATACTCTTTTTAATTTACATTAACGATCTTTCAGATATTATCACATCTAAGGTGGCATTATTTGCTGACGACACTACTATTTATCTTGATAAAAATTTCACCTCTGCTAAAGCATGTGGCTCACAATGGCTGGTGAACTTTATTCGTTCGGTTTTAAAAAAATAGAACAACAGTTTTGGCTATTGTTCATTTTATGTAATGGTTAATGTAATATAATTTATTTTATATAATATGCCTAATGAATTTTTATTAGTAACAACTTCTTTAATTCATTCAGCTCCTCCAAAATTTTAAAGTTCAAAGTTTCGCTTTTCCCAAAACAAAGTTAAAGAAAATATATGAAGTCAATGATAAATCTTAAAGTTTTACAAAGAATAATCTATGTAATATTTTTTCTTGTTATAACTATCTTGGAAGTTATTTTAAATATCTAGGCCTTTTATCTTTATAAATTAATTTTTTAAATACTTCTCAATACTCAAAATAGGTACCTAGTCAATTCTGCAAGAAAAAAAGAACATTTAAGAATTTCCTTTCAAAAGATGTAGTTAGTAGAATTTTAAGTTAGTTATATATATATATATATATATATATATATATATTTATATATGTATATATATATATATATATATATATATATATATATATATATATATATATATATATATATATGTATATATATATATGTATATATATATATATATATATATATATATATATATATATATATATTTATATATATATATATATATATCTTCTTCATATCCTGTAACTTCAGAGATTCTTCAAGGTTTAATCCTTGGCCCTATACTCTTTTTAATTTACATTAACGATCTTTCAGATATTATCACATCTAAGGTGGCATTATTTGCTGACGACACTACTATTTATCTTGATAAAAATTTCACCTCTGCTAAAGCATGTGGCTCACAATGGCTGGTGAACTTTATTTCAGATAAAACTCAATTTTTTTCGGCAAATCGTTATCGCAATAATTTTGATCTTCCTATACTTATTAATGGTAATGTACTAGTTGAGTCATATACCCTTCATCTTCTTTGATTAACTTACTTTTGATCTTTCTTTTAAACCGTATATCAAATCCATTCTAAAATTAGCATCTGCTATGATTGCATCTCTTTATCGAGCTCGACACTTCCTTACTTTAGATTCTATTCTCTATCTCTATAAGTTTCAAATCCGTCCTTGTATGGAATACTGTTGCGATATCTGGGGCAGATCTCCTATTGATGCCCTTTCTCTTTTAGACAAGGTGCGAAAACGCATTGTAAACATAGTTGGACCTGCTTGTGCAGCCAATCTCCAACCACTGTCACATCGTCGTGATGTTGCTTCTTTTTCTCTTTTCTA